CCCTTACATGTGTGGTCCCCCCAGGACCTTCGGCTACTAGCCCTGGCCCACCTCCAGGCCAGCTGAAACCCCAAGCCCTTGGCTCTTGGGCGTTCTTCGCGGTGGCCCCCGGCCCTTCGACCCTTCCGCTCCGGGCCCCAGCGTGGGCCAGTCAGGGGAAGTCCAGACAGGCCTGAGTCTATGGCCTTTTCTCTCTCTCCAGGGGTCCACCCTCCAGGCCCTCCAAACAAGGGGTAACCCACCCAGTTGTGGGGGCTAGGGGTTAAGGCACCCCAACCCACCTTTCACCAGGGTGGTAACTGGCCTGGCATTTCCTGGGGCCCCCCGTGCCCCTGGGAGCCCCACCAGGCCACCCACTCCTGGCAGGGGGCAGTTTTAGGTCATGCCCAGGACCCGGAGCCTCCTGACCCCCCCCTACAGCTCCTCCCTTACCTCCAGATGATCCCAGCAGCCCTCCAGCCAGGCAGTGTTGTTGCCGGGCCTCCAGCAGCAGAACTGCCCTGTTTATATGGGCAGCCCCAGATCCAAAATGGCCGCCCTCAGCAGGCACCTGGCAGCTGCTAGCTCCAGGCCCTTGAAGTGGCAGGTGCCCACAGTGCCCTGCCACAGGCCCCTTCTTCACTTAGGGCCCTAAGCATGGGCCTAGTTTGCCTATGCTTAATCCAGCCCTGTCTATCTTTAGATAGCGGTCACAGCCACACAGTAGCTAGATCACTGAGGGAGGGCAAAAGGCAACCACAGGCCCCATCAGGGGCACGAATCAAAGACCAAGTTACCAGATCCAAAGGGAAATCCAGAAACAGAGTCCAAAACACAGGTAGGGTCATGATCCAGAACAGGATGGCAGATTACCAGATCCAAGGGAAAATCCGCAAGCCAGGATCAAAGAACAGAGCCAAGCAGGGTCAGGAATGTCAATGAACATAGGAGCAGAGTAGCTTAAAAAGCAGACCTTAAGCAGAACTGCTAGGTGGCCTGGAGTCTGTTGTCATAGCCAGAGATGAATGGAGAAGCAGCCAGTCAAAAGGCCCAGACAGTAGCCAGCTGGAGTCCTTAACTATGTTAGGCCAACTAGGCAATTAGCCCAGGCTGGACTGTTTGTTAGGGCCCATGACAGACGCACAGGAAGGAACACACGCCAGTGTCCTCTCTGCTGGCCAGGCTGGCTCTGCTGAGCTAATGGGAGTGAAGAACTATGTTTTGTCACAACAGCAAGCAGACGGGATGCTGAGAAGTAAAAGGGTCCGTTATATGAGAACAAAGCCATAGCATTTTTGGTGAAATTACTTGCACTGGGGACAATACACCGATCTGGTTTAGAACTTGGTATGGCCCCACTGAACACCCCAGCTGAGGAAATCCCACTTACCCTGACAGACCAGACTCAACAGAATATGTGCATCATGCAACAGAATATACGCATTATGGGATCATGGTAGGCCCCTGCCTGATGGACATATCCAATGGCTGTGGTAAAAATAACAAACGAACCAATGAAAACCTACCTAGATGCAGATGTGCTGGATATAGCTCACTCCGCCCAGGGAAGGTGTTAAGAGGCTGATTCAGTTACCTGATAATATTTGTTGCATTGAGATTTCGTAGCTTCTCAGAGTGAGATGGATTTCCCAGGCATCGTCAGGCCTGTAAGCCTTTTCCAATTTGTTAACATAGTGTAACACCAGAATTGGGCAGTGTCTAGCAATGGTCTCACCTGTGTTATGGAAAAAGGTAACACCCCCACCCTGGCAGCCCCTTCCACTCCTGTGTTCCAACAATGTAACCTATGCCTATGTACACTTCAACATTGCATTAGACCAGTGGTTCTCAACCTTTTTAGGCTTGAGTTACCCTTTAGAAAATATCAGATCTTGATTTTCATTCCCTTTTTTACTACAGAAAAATAATAGGATAATTGTTCCATAGCAAAGAACTCAGAAAGACATAACCAGTCAGAATGTTTTTAACGCTGTGGATTCCTATTTGAAATCTCTTGTTATATCTTGTGAATCATGTTTACACATCTAGCACTGCTAGCATTGTGTGGCACTCTATGGCACACTTGAAAGGATCTCAAGGCACCGCAGGCAGCTGTGATACCCTGGTTGAGAATCACTGCATTAGACTTTAGCTACAGTATTACCCTGGGAGTTAGTCTATAAGTACTTTCCACCACAACTCTTAATCCCTTTGGAGTAACTGCCTTTCAATGTACCATCACTCATTGAGCCCAGTCTTTATCCCTAGATGTCTGATCTTGCACATGGCTGCATTAAGGCTCATGCTGTTCAAGTGAGTTCAGTTTACCAAGCAGTCTGGACAGCTCTAGAATCATGCTGCCCTTATCTCTTTCTGTTTGCCAGTTTTGTATCACTGGCAACCCTCACGATCTTATAATGTAGTCATCTTGGACAAAACTCATTTGCATCCCTAGGGAAGTGTGAGGAGAAACTGTGCCCCAGCCCTCAAACTGCTTGCTCTGCAATGGGCTTGTCTGGGCCTAGGTGGTATGAATGGCGCCTTTGGTAGACCTCAACAGTAGGCTTCTACTGTGCCTGGTTTTAGCCAGGTATAAAAGGCCTCATGTATAAATACTTAAGTCACTTAGTTGTTAACACTGTACAGTGAAATCCCTATCTCCACTCCCTGCCCCTACAACATGGTGCCTGTGACAGGAGTTCATTCCAAGGCCTGTCTAACATCAGCCTGACCCTCTGTCTCTGGGCTACCCACCCACCTCTCATCTGCCATGCCTTGATGGAGCAATAATTATGATGTTACTCAGGCAGGAGGCTGCCCATTTACTACCCTGACACTAGGGGTTGCTATCCACCACTCCAGGCCTCCCCAACACGGTGGCCCACACCTTGCAGATGGTATATAGATGTTGACCTGCACCCTATGGCGCTGGGTCTGCTCACGCCCTGTTGCTGCGCTCCCTGGCACTGGGGTCTGCTCACCCCCTGTTGTTATTCCCCCTGTCTCTGCACCCCCCATCACTGCGCCTCCTGGCACTGGGGTCTGCTCACCCCCCTGTCACTGCACCCCCTGGCGCTGGGGTCTGCACAGTAGTGTGCCCCAATGAGGCCTCCTCCTCCCCTTAAGCCTCAGTCCAGTCCACCAGATAAAACAACAACATAAATATGAGCCCCTGGGCTATAACATAATATGAGTCCTACAAACCACACTCTGGCTCTTTAAAACCCCAAACTGCTCCTCAAGTATTGCGTACCTCCCAGCTCTGGGTACCTTGTAGACTCCTGGAGACTCATGAGTCATAGCAACAGTCTGGCCAGCAGCCACAGCATTCCTAGCTAGTTTTGCCATGCAGGAGCTTTCTTCCCCAGGCAGCTTGCCAGAGACCCCTCCTGCCAGCCTCAGCCCTGGGGTTTATATGTGCCCAGAGGCCTACCCCTTCCTGCCAGCTGACCGGCCTGGGTAGCTGGGCTACTAATCCCTACCTTCCTGGTGCTTGGTGTTCCTATAGACTCGGGTCTTAAAGGGGCAGCCCTGCCTCCTCGTAACAGGGCTAAGGTTCCCTGTTACAGTGCCTAAGTCTAGATCCCATGGAGCTGTCAGGAAAGTGGCTCTGCACACAGAACCCAACCCCATCCTTCCTCTCATCTGTTCATGCTGCTTTGGAGGGAGTGGTCTGTCCCATCTAGAACTATGTTAAGCCAACATCCTGGTTGCACTTAGAAGTGCTCAAAAGTCAAGAAATACCCAAGAGAAGGCCTCTGGCTCCTTCCATATGCACTGCCCAAGCCATAAGGTGGGTGGAGTGTGGAACTTCTGGACTCTGCTTCAGACACTGCACATCCCGTTATTGAATGAAGCAGGAGATCAGAACTCATCATCTTGCATCCTGAGTGCTCACTCGCTGCAGAGCTTTGAATGGGCCACAACCCCTTACCCCTCTATCAGCCTGGAGTTGGCCTACTCTGCCTCCTGTTACATAATAGAGGAGCCTGACCTGCTGGCAGTATAGGTGGCATCTGAAGAAGGGGCCACTCAGACCCTTGGTCTCTGAAGCAGCAGGACAGTGATCCCTGAAGGCCTACAGAGCTCAGTGCCTCACCTAAGAACCCACCCTAACTCCCAAGAGCCTAGTGAACTCTCATTGCAGCTACTAAGGTATGTGTCTTTAGTGACCAGCACAGCACGGTAGGGATAGGACTCACTCTAGTGAACGCAAAGGAGACTTCCTTTCTGAGACAGACAGACTTAGAGACCCAGGGATTCCTCCTGGTTCTCTAGCCCTCATGGGCTCCAGTGTCCCCAAACAGTGTATCCACATGATTTGGAAGGAGCTGATGAGTTTACTGCAGCCTCCTGAGATGGCATAAAAGCTGTGTCTCCAGTCATATGAGGCTCTGAGGGGCTGGCAAGACCAGCTGAGTACAGCAGGGCACAGGAACAGAGTAGAGAGGGAAGAGAAAGCTCAGAAGTGAATTCGTGAGAGATGCTAAGAGTGAGGCAAAGCTTTGGGCAGTGCTCAAGGCCCAGTGCCCAGGGAGAGTCACCAAGGTGTTGGGGATACTGCACAGCTCTGTCTTTTCCTCTGTCTCTGCAGATGAGCCTGCTCCCTTTGCAGATCAAGGAGGATGAAGCAGACCTGGTATTCCACCACCACTATCCTCCCTACCCTAGCATCAGTCCCATTCCACCATGGCAGCTCCCAGCCCAGCCCCCGGCCCGGCCACAGAAACATCCTTCTGTACGGCACCTCAGCCTGGACCAACACCCTGCCTCAGTGGGAAGAAATCGCAATGAGTGAGTAAAATGGACATAGCTGTAGTGAGGCGTTAGCAGTAGGACATGTTGAGGAATGAGCTGCTACCAGATGCACTGAGCCAGGGAGACAGGTTGTTGGCTGTAGAAAGAAGAGGTGCTGCTGCCATAGTGTAACATGTTGGAGTGCCAGGGTGACCATGACGCCCCCTGGTGGCTCAGCAACCATGCCCTGCTCTGCCCCTAGGGTACCCTCCCTGTCTCTTCTGCCATGCCTTGATGGAAATAAAATAGGGAGACTGCCCATTGACCTTTGCTGGGCCTCAGTCCCACTGGTCCCAGGCCCCTGGCTGGGCCTCTAGTCTCAAGTCCCTAGCTAGGCCCCGTAAGCAACTGTGCCTGGCTGGTCACCCAGAGCCTTATGGGCTAATTGCACGGCTCCGAAACCTTCCCTTTACCACACCCCATGCCTTGCAGGTGTTACTAGTACACTGTCCATCTGTTGGGGCTTCAGCCTCCTCATCATCTGCCCCTTTAATCTAGCTAGGCCTGCTAGCCTAGGCACACTGGGATGGATCTGGCTTTGAGGTACTAGTTTCACTTGTCCCTTCCAGTTGCTGGGCCCCTGGCCCTTCTGTGACTGCGCCCTCACTGGGCACTAATGAGGCTTCCTCCTCCCCTTATAGCCTCATCCCAATCCACCGGGGAAAGTCATAATTTAACATAAGCCCCTGGGCTGTAAGATAAGCAAAAGAGAAGCAGGACAGGAGGGGGCAATGGCAACAAGGCTTCACTACTCCATGTGCCTGCAGGTATGCCCCAGAAAAACTCTTTCTGTTTCTTGGGCTCCAGCAGGAACCTTCTCGGTTAACGGAAGGACACTGCTGTCTGCCCTCTGCCCCTTTAAGAGAGCAACCCTTTCATTCTAGGGCCAGCACACCTCCCAGCATGGCTCCTTGGGAGCAACTCAGGCAGCAAAGCAGTCTGGTCAGTGCCCCTGGGTGCTTCTCCTGGGCAGAAGCTCCTAACTCTGCGGTGACTAGGGCTAATGTGGTTTGCCCCCTCAAGGCCCAGGTTTATATGCACCCCAGACCCTGCCTACATCTGGTCGGGTGACTGCCCAGGCTGGCTGCTAATTACTTCATTATCCCAGCTGCCCTGGCAATTGGCAGCTGCTGCCCCCTGCCCAGCCTACAGAGCTCCCTTGCTGGACTGCTTATTCTACTAAGCTAACAGAGAGCCTGGGGCTCTTTCTTACGCATGGGCAGTGCAAGGGCCTGGAAGTGGGCTGATAGGTTTATGGAATTAGCAGAGAGGGAGGGAGTGCCTTGGTCCCAGGAGCATCAGGACAGGAGGGGGCAATGGCAACAAGGCTTCACTACTCCATGTGCCTGCAGGTATGCCCCAGGAAAACTCGGTTTCCTGGGCTCCAGCAGGAACCTTCTCCGTTAACTGAAAGACACTGCTGTCTGGCTTGTTACTAGGCATAAGGGAGGAACCTTCTCCCCCGAGACTGCCATTCACTTCCTGCCCTCTGTTTGTTCCTGCAGGTTAGTGGTCCCTCCGCCTCCGCCACCCAGTGCCACTGGGACAGTGGGAGCTGATATCCCGCCTGCCTCAGGTAGGGCCTTGGCCTGGCTGCAGCACAGCTCCTTCCCTGGGCAGGGGTAATTCCCTGCCCTCAGACATGTACGGGCCCCCTCTCAGAGGCAAGTACTTGTGGCTGCCTCACTCCCTTATGGGTACCTGCCAGAACACCATGGATGCTCAGTAGGCCTGACACCTCAGGTTTGTGCCTAGCCTTAAGCCCTGGGTCCCTGGGTTGTTCCCAGTCACTGTCCTTTTCCACCTTCTCTGACATGCTAACCTGAGCTTTAAACATCCTGTAGCTGACTCGAATCACGGGGTCAGCTCAAGTCTACACAGCATTCACCTTGCCCGAGGGGTAGTGTTATTAAACAGGTTAGCTCCAGACTGTACCATAACCCTGCAGCCTTCCCTGCTTGTGTCAGTTTGGATCCTTTATCTAATGCCTCATAATTCTGGCCTGAATCCCATCATCCCTCTGGTCAGTGGGCAACTCAGTGCGCAGCACTGGGGCCACTCTGGCTTTGCAACTCCAGACACCTGGGATAGCAGTACCTCTGAGAAACAAGGTCACAGACTATCCCATTTCACCATGCAACTATCTTATTTCTGTTCACAGAGTATTATGACTTCGCTGAGGGGAAGTTGTGAGCCTCTGAGACATCCACCCATCGCCGGCACTTCCAGTTTTGCCTATCCCTTTGGACTTCTACCAGATGCAACTGCATCTGAGGCCTGGTGGAGCTCCTGAGATTGGCCCTGGTGGACTGCTATTACCCTCACTAACTGAATTAAGTCTTGTGACACATGGTCTCCTGTCATTAACCTTGTCCTGACGGAGGGGACCAGACAGTCTGTCTGGAATTTCTATCAGCTGAACAATTTACAAAAAAGGATGACACTTCATCATCCAGTTGCTTCCAAGGTGTGGCCATTTCTTTACACAACAACAGCTATGATCCCAGGCCTGATACCATTAGCTGCAAGTACATGGGAAAATGTCCTTCCCCTTATGGAATAGACTTGCTTGTTTGCCCTGGTGATGGGTCAATCAGATCTCTAGTTCCTGGCTGTGGTGGTGGAGGACAGCAGGGTGTTTTCCAGCCCCAAGGGACAATGCAGGTGTCCTGGACTGGATCTCACAGTAAAATCAGAGATATGATATCCAGGTGTCAGCTATTTTTGGGTGCTGTTTGACTGTATGTCCATGGCCTTGCTGGCATGGCTCTGGGGTAGGAAGGAATGAGCTGGGTGGGCTAGACCTGGGTATCCCCATGTCCTCTGAAGGCCTCTCCATGTATTGCATGCAGGTGAGCTGGACAATAAATGCCAGCCACAGAGGAAAGGACTAGGGTAATATCTGGCCATGAGAAGGTCAACAGAAGGCAACACAAGGCCCAGAGTGTGGTATCCTGAGGCTTGTAATGTGGAAACAATTCTTTAATATATCCAGAAACATATCTACAGCTATTTACAGTAGAGAGGTAAGATTATTACTGCTGTCCTTGCAAATGTCTTGTGGCTGGCCTGCTTCTGTTCTGCCATTCAGAAGCTCCCGGTGACCTCACCCAGGGTCTCATGGGATACCACACTCCTGGACATTCTGTATATCCAGGAGGACTTACCTTATGTCATATCTTCCCCTCTTACGAGAGCCTAACTAGACTAATAATATTACAACAATAACTATCACAAACGCAAACAAATATCCCTCAACCAGCCTTTTGGCTATTTCAGCACTCTTCCATCTCTGCTGTGTTGCAGCCCCTCTGTCTCTGTTCTTGTCTACAATTGAACATTCAGTCTCCTGGTCACATTCTGGGTTAACTTGTAAATTTGTTTCAGCTGGTGTCTTGTTGCTGTTTCACTTGTATCATTCTCATTGTTAGGTATTTTGAGAGGGTATCTTTGATTCCTTTAAGATTTGCCCTTCATCCATGATGACCAAGTATGAGTGATTGACTCTTCTTTGATTACTGTAGCTTTAACTGGCTAGTGTCCATCTTGCCAGATTCATACCGGAGCTTTGTTTTTCTTTAACTCTGGAAGTGGCTTTGCTTTTATACTGTAATTATGCTTCTCTTTGTACTTTTCCAGTCTTTTCTGTACTATCAACAGATTCCTCTGTCACCATTAACATCTGACTCAAGTTATAGAGAAGTTCCACAGGTGACTTTCCAGATTACAGTTACATAGATCTGAAGTTCAGTAGTGCCAGGTAGGAATCTTTTCCTTCCTCATTTGCTTTTTTAAGCATGTTCTTCACAAGACATACTCCATATTCTGCCAATCCAGTCATTGCCTGGAAGGTATCTGAGACTGGATGTCGCATAAAGAAAATCATAAAGTTGAGCAAATTTTTGAAATTTCCTATTCTTGAGCTATGGTCAATTTCCAGTAATTATAGTTCTAGGAAGTCCATGGTGTGCAAATATAAATGTAACATGTTTGACAACTGTTGTCACTGTGGTATCTTCAAGCGGACATCACTACTTCCGGGAAATTAACATAGTAGTCTATTATAATCAGATGGTCATGTCTTCCCAAACTGAAGGATTCAATTCCCACTTTGTCCCATGGAATCATAAGTTGCTCAGACTGTATCATTGCTTATTCATGCTTGGCATCCCTGTACTTTTGACACATTCCACACCCCCAGACCAGGCCTTCAGTATCACTCTTCATCCAAGATCAAAGACAACATCTCTGCCTTTCCTTTTTTAATTGGTCATTCCCAGATGTTCTTCATGCATATGTTCCAAAATTTTCTCTCTCATCACTCCAGGAATCATAACCTGTATACCCTTCATGAGTACTCTTGAGATCACTGAGAGTTCATTTTTATATTGAGACTATGCAAATGGGACAGGGCAATTTTTTCCTCCTTAACTTATTGGTTGCATCACTTTTTGCAATGTTGCATCTTTATCCATTTCCATCACCAGTTCATCCCAAATGCCTGAAGATACATTGCATGATGCTTTAATTATGTTCACAGGTATGGTTACAGTTTATTCCAGATCATCAGCTTATAGACTGTTTGACAGAGGGAATGCTCTTGAAAGTGTGTCTGCCATCACTGAGTTGTGTCCAGGTTGGGACTTGTATCTATCATGCCTCTGCAATTTCAGAAGTAGTCACTTGATCCTTGGTGGTATATCTCCAAGTCCTTTTTTTGAATTTTTCAGTCAGTGGTTTGATAAATTTTTCAATCAGCGATCTGTTTCTACAATGATCATATAGTAAATCATGGAATTTTATACATTCATAAGCCAAGCTAAAGATCTCTTTCAATTTCTGCCTATAATTTTTTTTGGCTGTGGATACCTAGATACATATGAGATTGGCAACCAATCAGTTCCATGATGCTGTAATAGTACTACTCCCAATCTATCTTTTGAGGCATCTGCGGAGAGTTTGGGGTCTTTTAATGGGCCAAAAAATTGTAGCACTGCTGCTGATGTCAATATGTGTTTTAAATCATCACATTTACTTTCATACTCTGACATCTAGACCCATTGCATGCCCTTGCTGAGAAGATGCCTCAGATAAGCTGTGCGAGCTGCGTACTTAGCCATAAACTTGCTGCCATAATTCAACATTGATAGCAATCTTTGAACTCCCTTTTTGTTGTCAAGTTTAGGCATGTTCAGTATGGCCTAGATTTATAAGTTGTTGGGTAAGATTCCTTCTGAGGTCAGTTACTTGCCCAAATATGGTATTTCTATGGTCTTATACTGACATTTGTCCTTAGTCAGTTTAAGGTTGTTAGCTCTTGCAATATCCAATAATTTTCTCAGTCATTCTTGTTGTTCAATGGCATTACTTTCCCAAATTATTGTCATCATTGTAGACCTTCACATCTACTAAACCCTCTAGCACAGGGTTGTGAACCCAAGAAAATTGTTTTACTGACAAACTGCCAACTTTTTCTTTTTGAATGATATGTTTTACATAATGTAAATGCAACCTTTGTTTTACATAATGTAAATGCAACCTTTCTGCCAGGCCCTTGATGGCAGCAACGAGTCCTGGTTTCAAATGTAGGAGTTTAAAGCCAACCATAGTAAAAAGTTTGGTTGTCGGGGATAAGTTTGCAGACTGTCAGTAAAAAAAAAAAAATCTTGAGTTAGCTCCCCTGCTTGACTAGAGCAAAGATTTTATACCATGCTGCTCCCACCCTAGGGGTCTCCTACTCACCCACACACCTTGCTATCTCTTGCTACATCCCTGCAACATGCTGCCCTGCCCCTGAACACACCTCAGTTGATGCCTCACCCCCACCCCCAGTCCTGCAGCTCCATCCCAGCTATACCACTCCCTCCTCTACCTGTGATACAGTGATGGGATGCAACAGCAGCAGTACATGGCTGGCGAGGTGGGGAGGGGGACTATGAAGGCTTCTGTGGGACTTAATCCTTGACAGAGCTCACTGTAGAGTGCTACACTCCTGCTCAGATACCAGGTGGTGCTGCTGTGTTCTGTTTGTCCTTCAACCTCCAGTCTTGTTCAGACCATTTCTTAGTTTTCACAGATAGCTCATTTTTACAGACTTTACAGCCTTTTTTTTTTTTTTTCAGACTGTCCTTAAATTTATGGACAACTGGCACCCCTGCTTTCGCATCTCGTTCATTGTGCAGTGAAATACTTCTGGAGTTAAGCATATTCTAAAAGTCAATTTTAAAAGACCAAGTCTGCATACAAGGGGGCCCAGGAGTATGACCTGTAGCAGGAGCTGGAGTTGGAGCTGGAGAGTTGCTGGAGGTGGGCAGAGCAAAAGAAAGAGAGGGGCAGGAGGTACCTCATGATGTGCTGAAATTATGTGCAGCAAGCACAACACTCCTCTAGGCCTAGCAACACAATGTAGAGCACTGTGTTAGGCCCCCAAAAAGCTGTGCTGCCATACATTGGGGTACACAGAAGGGTTAGTGGCACCCTCCCCGTCCATGCAGTGCTGGTCCCTGCAGTTCCCCTCAGGTCTATAAAATGCATGGTTGCTCCATTGAATTTGCTTTGTAAATCAAGAGCCCCACTGTCACTAATTATGGGGCTGTAATTATCCAGGCTGTGGGATTCCTGCCTGAGCCCACCAATCTTTCATAGATCATTCTAGCAGGGAGGAGCTGATGCTGTTGGCACAGTGTACATCCCTGGGAGAAGGGGTGCAGTAACAAGAGGCAGGGAAAGGCAAGGGACTCCTGCAGAACCCAAGAGGCCCAGCCACCGATACCTTCCTGCACTGGCCTGGAAGTGACTGGACCAATGCAGCAGCTCATGCCATTGTAGCAGGCCAGTAAGGAGTGCTCCTGCGCTTAGCCACCCACCTCACTGCACCCAACCACCTTTCAGGCTCCAAGTGCCTCCTTGGGGGCACCTCATGTCCAGCCAACCCCCTTCCTGGAGTACACCCACAAGCCTGGGGGTAATGCCACCACCACCCAGGGTCTGAACTGATTTTGGCCCTATGCCCCCTGGGAAACAAAGGCCTAATAGTCCTTGAGGGGTTCTCAACCCACTGCAAGAACTTGGGGTGCTTCCCTCAGTTTGAAGCACAAATGGCTGTCTCCCTTAGTCAGCCAAACCAAGGGGACCCCAAGGCATAATCTAGACCCTTTCCCAATAAGTCTCCTATGCTAGGTACAGAGGAGGACATTATTGGTTACAAGGAGTAGGTTTGGAATAGGGTACAGGGTAGAGCAATATCAGAGAAATACCTTAGAGCAAACAGTGGCATGGTAGCCTCTGACCACACATCTGAGTTACTGAAAGCTATATCTCTAGTTAGAACTCAAGTAGCTTACTCACAACTATCATCCAGAGCCAGGTGGAGATTTCCTCTGGAGGCAAGCAGATCATTGAACATGAGTTTCAAGAGAGAGAGCAAGTTTCAAATGGTCCAGCTGCTCTGAAAATCCTCATCATAACTGCTCCCCACACCTCCCGGGCAGTCCTTAATTTATATAGATACCTTATGACCTCATTTACCTGATCCAATGAAGGCCAGCAGCTGTTGGCGGCCAGCCAACCAATTTGAAATGCAACACTGGTTGCTGGGGACATTGGCAGGATCTCTAGCTCCTCCCAGATGACATTGCTTAGAACAATAGGGAGTTTAACCCCCCACCCAGGTGTGTGAGGCCAGTCATGTAGGCAGAGGGAGCAGGTTTCCCCCCCTACCTCAGGAATGTATCCAGCTCAGGTTACAACTCAGGGTTACCTGAAACCAATGGGGCCAGGGGGGTCAGCCCTCTGCAGTGACCATGGTAATCAAATTGTCAGATTGGTCATCCACCTAATAGCAGAGCTTGGGGTGAGACAGAGACATCATTCTGCCACAGTCATACAGAGCTCATTGGTTCCCTAAGATCACAGCTTGGAATGGATGGGGAAAGGAAGTGAGAAATTTATTGGTCCCAACTGGGGATCCTCTGTCTGTAGCAGAAGCAGCCGCTGTGATGGGGAAAGTGTCAGGACTGCTAGTTTTACTTCCTCCATCACTGACTCCCTGTGTAACCTTGGTGAGCCCCTTCCCTTCTCTAAGACTTAGCTTCAGAGGCAACCTGATTTCTGGAATGAGAGCAGTGTGCAAGTTCCTTATTGGGTACCTACTTGAAGGGGATGGGGAGGAGATGAATGGAAATGGGCAATGGGTCTAGTACTCAGCCTCATCCAGATCTAGCTCTCCTGGTCTGGGTTGATTCCTAAGGTCTGAACCACTCGAGCCACAGATCTTACAGCAAGGGTGTCCAACCTTTTTGAATGTGGGGCTGGATCATGAACTTTTTATCACCCTGGGGGCCGGGGAGCCATATTCAAAGACCTCACAGGAAGCGGTGAAATTCAGCAGGTGAAATTCTATGGCCTGTGTTACACCAGACGTCAGACTGGATGAGACAGAATCTTACAAGGGTGCCACAGAACTTCCCAACGCTTCCACCTTTAATGGGGTCCTTTCGAGTTATAAGAACAAAGCTTCTTATGGATACACAGGATGGATGCACAAAGCTTCTAATGGATGCACAGGAGGAGCTGGGCGAGGGCCGTGATGCTGCAGCCTGCATGTGCCGGGCTTTACAGGTGGAGCAACCACGGGGCAGGGACCCAGGCCACCCAAGCCCCCCGCCCCAGGCCCTGCCACACCTTGCAAGCCCGCCCAGTGGCTCCCAGCCCGGATCCAGCAAAAAAAAAGGGGCTTCCTCTGCCAGGGAGGGAGGAGGAGAAGGCGGAGGAAGAGGAGGCGGCACAGCGAGCCTGGGCTGGCGCTGTGCGCTCACACAGGGACCTGTGAGCTGGGCACAGGGCAGCACCCAGGCAGCCCCTGGCTGCAACTTCTCCACCCGCTGCCGGGAAGATGAACCATGCAGGTGAGCGTGTAGCAGGGCAGGCGTGGAAGCCCCAGAATTATGCCTCCTTCTCCACAGCCACAGCCCCGAGGGGCAGAGCCAGGTGCAAGCAGCGATTTAGTGTGGGGGAAGTTGACCGGGGAGGGTCTGGGGGGGTTTCATCCCCGCTCCCCTCGCCCCGCATATGCCCGGCTGGGCTCCGCTCGCCGCCCATGGTGATGGCCAGTGCAAGCTCTACCCGGGACCGCCCTGTGCCGCACTGATGACCCACGCTTTCACTGCCGGCTACTCCTCTTCCCACACGCAACGCGTCAGCAACATCAAGCTGACGCGGTGCATGTGGGAACCTTGTCCCTTCCCCAGCCCTTCAGCAGCCATTAGGAAGCTGCTGAGGGAGGGACAAGGGTGGGAATGAAAGTAAACAACATTTACTTTCGTTTCCCGTTGCAGCACCGCGGGCCACAGAAAATGGCTTGGCAGGCTGCATGGCGGCCCGCGGGCCATATGTTGAACAAGCCTGCTCTAGAGGTCCCGGACTCTCGGGGTTTATAGCCTGGAAAGGTTAGATTGTGCTCCCAAAACACATGCCAGATCTCACTTCCACCTGCAGTCTCCAGGATGGATTCCTCTCACCCCCTTGGCCAGTCTAGGACAGGCATGCTGCTCTTGGGCAGCGGGACAAGGGGCCACAGATGAGGACTCTTCCTGCATCTTGCCCAGACCAGCTGAGTCTGACAGAAAAGGGCATGAGCAGGGGAAAACCACCTCACACACAGCAATACAATTAATGATCTTGTCCTGAGGTGAGCTGCAGCCAGTCTCCCGGCACAGGGCAAAAATGCCATCTAGGGCAGCAGCAGGGCAATGCAACTTAGCTACTGCTGTGCACAGAGACCCTCTTGGCTCAGGACAGCCTTTCCCAGACTGAAAAGCAGGGCCCTTTCCCAGAGGTCTATCAGCTACCCAGTCTGGCCAGCCCAGAGGACTGCCTATCTGCTCTGCTACCAGGGATATGTGCTCCCACCAAAATTAGAAAGGGTGGGATACCAGCTACTGAGTGTCCAACAGGAGCACTGGATGGTTTTTCTTTGTGCTTTTTATTGCCAAAAGACAGTGAGGTTTGTTCATGTTGGTCCCTGGTTTTTGAAAATGTGGTTACCCTACTGCTCACATCTTCCAGTCCCTGCTCCTCCAACCACTGCTCTCTCATCTCCTTCAGGCCCTGCTTCACAAGCACATCTGGTCTAAAGACTAGGCTGATGGCTTTCTTCTGCCTTCTGTGAGATCACTGTGACTTGCAGCCTCTCAGAGGGACTGCGGTTGAGTGGCCATTTCTCTCTCTCACACACACATGCACACACATACACACTCCCCCCCCCCCCCCCCCCCCCCATTTTTTCTGTCATGGGAGAGGTTAGGAGTTTGCTG